AGTGCGCGAGTACGTATGGTGGAACCTCGCAGTGACAGCCGGGTAAGAACCATCGAAGAGGAAGGTGGTTCTGAAAGTTTTGAAGAAAAGGTCAGTAAAGTAGTGGTAGAAAAGGTCAGTAAAGTAATGGAAGAAAAGGTCAATAAAGCAATACAGTCACTGGCAAAGAAACGTGAACCACGATGTTGGAATTGCGGCGAGATTGGACACGTTCGCCGCAACTGCCAAAAACCATTGCAGCAGTCGGAAAACTAAGAAAGGTCGACAGGAAGGGGCTATCGTCGACCTGCAGAAACAAAGCCCCGATCTTCACTGTAAACATTTCGTCGTCTGGAAAAGTTCACAATAATGCAGACGCTTTGTCAAGAAGACCGTGCAAGGACAACTGCACACATTGTTCTAAAATAGAAGACAAGATTGGCCATCTGCGACGAACAACTGTAGAGAGTGAGGAATGGAAGCCAAGCGAAATCAAAACGGCCCAAGAAAACGACCCAAGTATAAAAACTGTTCTGAATTGGATGCGCCACGGACAAAGACCAGGCTGGCAAGACATTAGTGCCACAAGTCCTGAAGTAAAGAGTTATTGGGGCCAATGGAATAGCCTGACTCTGAAAGACAACCTGTTGTATAGGACCCTTGAAAGTGAAGATGGCACCGAATCGACGCTGCAATTAGTAGTACCTAGAAGCAAAGTGTCGGAAGTATTGCGAAAATTGCATGACGGCGCTTCCGGAGGACACTTTGGTATTACGAAAACGTTGCAAAGGGTACGTGAGCGATTCTATTGGGTCAACCGTAAAGAAGATGTCCGGCGATGGTGTCAAAAATGTGAGTTATGTGCTACTGGAAACGGACCAGTTTCCAAGAAGAAGGCACCCATGAGGCAGTATAACGTTGGTAGTCCGATGGAACGAGTTGCTATCGATATCGCAGGACCGTTTCCCGAGACAGATGGCGGAAATAAATATATCCTAGTCGCTATGGATTATTTCACAAAGTGGACTGAAGCTTACGCCATTCCAAACCAAGAGGCAGCAACAGTTGCAGAAGTGTTGGTAAAGGAGTTCTTTACACGTTTTGGTGTTCCTATAGAAATCCATTCAGACCAAGGAAGGAACTTTGAATCGGCTTTGTTCCAAGATGTTTGTCGATTGGTAGGAGCCAATAAAACCAGAACAACACCTTTGCATCCTCAGTCAGATGGAATGGTGGAGAGAATGAATCGAACGATGGGTAAATATCTTTCAAAAGTCGTGGCAGAACATCAGAAAAATTGGGACCAGTACCTCCACCTGTTCCTTATGGCATATCGATCAGCCGTCAACGAGACCACGGGTCAGACTCCTGCCTGCCTTATGTTGGGTCGTGAACTACGCCTTCCATGTGATCTCGAGTTTGGGCGTAAACCCCATGAAGAATATGTCGCAGGTGAAAATTATGTTGACCAACTAAAGGCGAAGATGAACGATATTCACGACTTGGCTAGAAGTCATATTCAGATTGCCAGCGATCGCATGAAAAATCAATACAACCTCCGCTCGGCCAATGAAACTTTTGAAGCTGGAGATCTGGTATGGCTGCACAATCCACAGAGACGAAGAGGTCTTTCTCCCAAGCTACAAAGACAATGGGAAGGTCCGTATGAGGTGATCAAGAAAATAAATGACGTGATATATCGTATCAGAATGAACCACCGGAAACCGAAAGCTGTCCACATTAATCGACTCGCACGATATGCCGGATCCAACAACAACGAAGAAGTTAGAGGTATTCGAGAAGAGGAACGCAGCTTTGGGATCGAGCCAAACTTTAACGATTTTATGTCAAATTACGCCCAGCGGAAGAAAGCTCGATTTGGCGTTACTCAGGAAATTTGTCAAAATATTTTTGAGCTTCCGGTTAACGTTTCCATCGCCCATTGTGTCGCCGAAGACCTTCGCATGGATAGAGGTATAGCTTCCGTATTCCGGAAAAGATTTGGAAGAATAGACGAGTTGTTAAAGCAAAGACCACGAGTGGGTAAAGTACTGCGCTTGGAAGATAGTCAACGCTCTTTGTTCTACTTGGTTTCAAAGAAAACGTCAGAAGGCAAACCCACCTATGAAAACCTCTGGTCTGCTTTAAAAAGCTTAAAGAAACTCATGGCATACTATGACATAAATAGCTTGGCGATCCCGAAGATTGGATGTGGTTTAGATGGGTTGGACTGGAAAATAGTGCGAACCATGATCGAAGTGATTTTTAGAAACACTAGCGTTCGAATTACAGTATGCTGCTTCAACCCACAGGGGACGACCCTCCGCAAAACTGTGGACTGTTACTTTTTCAAGAAAGGTGTTTGTCGAGCAGGCTCTGACTGCAGATTCCGACACGAGGCATTAAAAAGTAATACTAACGCAGTTTCTGAACGAGACGTCCAGAATTAAGAAGGGGGCAGTGTAACGGAAATGCTGCAGACATGACGTCGCCTTTGGCGCTCTGGAATTTTCTACGCGTATTCGAGAATGTACTGGACTTACATTGCTTGCGTGTATAAATGGTTGCGGACCGAACATCGCGGCAGTCTACTACCAAACGAGTACGTAAACATTGAGCGCGAAAATCTGATATAAATTGCGAAGTGTGAGTGATATAAATAATCGAGATAAATTGTACGGATTTTTATAGTGTTTTAGTTTTGTTTAATAAATATTGATATAAATCGAACCCGAATATATAAATCACGTTACAATACCGATTACATCATAAGTTTTCCTTGTTGCTGATTCCCGCCACTTTCCAGAATCCAATTTTGATGTTTCCTTTTTTTGTCATGTTTTCTTTTTTCTTTTTTTCTCCCTTTTTTTTGTTTGTTTTGTTGTCACATGTTGTTCCTTTGTTAATTATTGTTTGTATGATCATTTATCATGAGCTTCATATACCTACCCCATTTTTTTTCTCTTCGGGCTTGTCTGTTCCTCATGATTCCATTTTTTTCCTTCCAATTTGTACATTTTATTAGAATCTCTATTTTTCGTCCTCTATTTTGTATTGTACGGGCTTCTGTGGTAGAAATATTTATTTTTAATTCATTTCTTAGGAAATTTATTCCCTTAATATTATTTGCTCCTTCTCCTTGAATTATAACGTTATTTTTTTCTTCATCCTTTCCTCTTTTTCCAGTCTCCATTCTACTTTGTCTGTTCTCTCCTCTACTTCTCGTTTTTCTTTGTTCCATTTTTCTTCCTTCTCTTGATTTTGCCTCTTCAGTTCCTGTATTTCCTTTTTAAACTCTTCTCTCATTTCCGTTATTTCTTTTCTGAAGTCATTTCTTATTTCCATCATACTCTTGTTAAGGGTTATCATCATGTTTTTAATTTCTCCCATGTTTTCTGGTTTTTCTCCTGTTTTTTCTTTCCCTTCTGTCTTTGTTGTGGGCGGTGATCGGTAGATTTTTTTTTGTAATTGCTCTAGTTCGGCTTCTCTGTTTCCTTGCTTCTTCCTCTTCTTCTCTTCCTCTTTTCTTTATTAAACATTCTTTTAGATTTCCTGTGCTATTGGCTCGTGAATGTCTTTGCTGTTTTTGCATTCCTTTTGTCTCTATTCCACAAACAGACATACTTACATACCACTTACGCACCGTCCGGCAACGGACACGAGAGGAGGCAATATATTACAGCGAAGAATCGGAAGTCTATGAGGTACTTCCTGCACAGAACAAACGGTTAGTCAAAAGATACAGAGCAACTTCACACTGTTAATCTACTTGCATTTGGACACAAAAATAAATAATAAATACAACAATAGAAATGCATAATCACCTGTACATTACAACAAAGAAACCTGATTCAACGGTACTTACAAAGCAAAGCTTGGAGCACGCCATGCTTCAATATAAAGATATCAGAAATTAATGCAAAATGTAAATAATAGCAAATTGTAACACGAAATTCAAAAATTGATTTTTAGTACAAAAAAGAATAAATAATGGTCACTACACTTTTCAAAACGGAACAAAACAAAATAAACATCAGATTTAACACAAAAAAGGGAGGGGGGTGTTAAAAACATGGCGTAATAAAGTGCCAGACAAATTTACTGTTTGACAGGTCGTGTAACTCGAATATTAAAAATCGTAATTAACATTCAACGGAAAAACAACAATTCAAATGGCATTAAATTAAAAGGCAACTGTCGCATACAAAACGGCAATTGCAAAATATTAAACGTAACGTAAAGCTCAAGAAACAAATTTACGATTCACAAGCAACGAATGTAATCTAAATGATTGAAACGTACGAACACGAGTTCTTGGTTACGACAAAAAGTACCGTAGATTAAATTAACAATAATCTTCAAAAAGGTAATCGGTAATACTGGCAGTTAGGAACAATAATTCAGGTCTTTAAGGTAAATAATTTGTATGTAGGTCTAGACTATATCACGGGATCGTCTTCTATGTTAAAATGGCGGCCACGTAATTAAGTCCGAAGGTGAGCAATCGATATAAATCATAATATCGTAATACTCACTAAGACGGAACGTCATAGTCAAAGTAAAATAATGACATGTTACTTTTGGAAGATAACAACAGCAATTCTGCATCATCGACTGGAACAGTTATGAGCACTCGAAAAGATTAATTATGAAACAGAGAAATCCTTTGAGTGACCTCTAGTGGCAGAATAATGAGCTACGAAGTGAAATCTATAACACTAATCTAACTATATCTAATTTACGGGAAAAAGTACAGATGGCGGAAGGAGTATTGAAATGGGAATAATTTAAATAGAAAATATGTTGAAGCTGAAAATCAAAACGAGTAAATACCATGTCTTGTAAAATTGATTTCTTGATAATTTATGATATTTCAGACACTTCTTCGAAATCAATATTTAAGAACTAATTATTTATGTTTTTTATTGATTATAAATGAGTATCAAGTAAAATAATGTACATCATACGCCGTAACAGTTTTGACTAGGAGGCGGGAATTGGGGTTGATAAATAAAACATAATTGATAAAAAAACCGTGCTTTAATTTAGAACATTCTGGTCAACGGTTTTCACCACACTAGTAGTATGCTGCTGATTTTTGTCCTTTTCTTTGTACGAAAGCACCTCATAACTGGTGTAGCTGTGACTCTTTCCGTTTTGGGCAACGTACAGTGCTTCGCTTGAGCTATCGGCGACCACTTTCCCTATCAGAACCAACCCAGCGCTCTTAGTCCTACCGATGTATATCGTGGATTTTGCCGACTCATAACCTCCGATAACTAAAAATTGACCGGTAATTGTGTTGAGGTTTTTGACACTCGTGTATATCCACTCGAACTGCTCCGGCTCTTTCGTGCAGAAGATCTGCGGAAACCATTGAATGATTTTTTAAAAGCGCCCCAGTTTTACCTTCAGATTATCCTTCGTTTCATATGCCCATCCGCCATATTCGTAGTACGCCGCCCTATCGTTGTGCAAAATTTTTGCCGGAACTAGATAGTCTTTGTGCAAAGCTTGGCCTATGTAAATTGGGTTGTTATATTCATCTCGGGCTGCAACGAAAGCGTCTGGTGGAACGAATCCATCGAAGTCTCTCCAAAAGTAACCTGTAATCGCAGATAAGGTCAACGGCTTTGAATTTATCTATTGTTACCAGTAGCACTGCTTGCATGTGCCAGGAAAATGTTCAAAACGGTAAATGTGAGTATAAGAAACATGGTGGCGGAATGTATGACACTAATCTTGTTTGTTTCTTCATTCTACCTTATATTGGATTGGGACATCCCCCTTTTTTTGACCGTGATCCATTTATTTATTTTGACTTCTGACCCCTGCGTGTTTTTGGGCAGATAACCAGGCACTTATCTTTAATGTTTTCGATCTTGTTAAACTCGGTCACCTCGTAGCAACGTGGGTCCAAATTGCAAAATCGATACGTAGCGTTTTTATTGTAAACAAGCACTAAATTAATTTATTTATACAGGGTCTCTCAGAGCGAGTAACTTCCTTGTGATTTGAGGATGGAATTGGATTCTCGCTGCTTTGTTTGCTAATAAAATTCAGATCTGAGGAATTTTTGACATTTTTGAAACGTTAACCTTAAGATTGTTTGTTCCTTCTGAATTTCTGAAGCGTTTAAATCCCTTCAAACAATTTTAAATTTGAAAAAAAGAAACCGCTGAAGCTACGCCACTGTCTTTTATTTATTAGGCGCGCCAAGCTTAGTAATTCAAATTGCACAAGGACGATGATTGCGCGCAAAAGAGAGAGGTGGCTTGGTTCTCCCTTCAAGTGAGAGCGAGCTAACGGCGAAGAAAACTTTTTGTCGGCACAACTAAAAACGTAGCGGTGGTGTAAGTGTGTTTGTTTAAGAAGTCAGGTAACCTTTAAATTGTACAGTTGTGGTCTTGTTTATTTGCTGTTGATTTAATAGATGCTTGCGATTGCAGATTGGGATTGGCATGAGCTCAATCTAAATTATGCACTAATTGTGAAAAAGTGGAGGATGGTTACTTTAGGGGCGGATTTGATTATTTCATATGTACGTAGAATTTTCATTGCGAATGTCCCTTTTATTATGTTTTAAAAAATACGAGTTGTGTTGAAATCGTTTTGGGGAATTTTACTATAGGGTGTGTTACGTTCTTTTCGCTCGTAATGCAAATTTAGTAATCTTCTTTGTAATCCACTAATTTAAATGTCAATTATTCCTGTAGTAAATTTTGTATTATTTTCACTTAGTTCTTTGTTTCGCCGACCAAGGTCATGCATATGTCTCCTTGGTATTTTTGGCAATCTCTTCTTGAAATTTAGTTATTTTTGTTAGTTATTGTAAGGATAACCCGTGGTTGATCAACATTTTGCTTTTTTTAGTGTAAAGTCATTCGAATTATTAATTCGTATTGAGTATTATTTACAGTTTTAATATCCAATTGCTTCCATGTCATACGTTAGCATTGATATTTCGCAATATTTTATGTGCGCGCGATTCACTGCCCCTTTTATTTGTTTGTTAGTGTTGTGATCTGTTACAGATTTGCAGGACGCGCTCTTCTAAATTCAGATAGCCGCTACGACCAGAATTCAAAGGTTACACGTTGCAGGTTGACATCCATTCTGGGAGAAGAAACAGTCCACTCATCCTGGATAAATCTAGCCTCTTGGATTATGGATTTCAATACTGGTCTCGCATAAGATTATCTCCAGGATATTACGAACTTTATTTATTTATTTATTTTATTATTTATTCATTTATTTATTTATTATCACTCTCTTGTTCTGGGCCCTCAACAGGCTTGCATGATCAGTCCTTAACGTAAAATTTCTTCCATACAGCTGGGTCGAGCGTTTAAAAAAACCGCTCGAGCGACGAGCTCTCTAATTGTCTCAAAAATGCTCGCGAGCATCGAGCATAGCGAAACCGTTTGCGAGTTTCGAGTGCTCGAGCGATTTATCACGAGTGCTTGGGAGAGTGCTCGTGAGCAAAAAAAAACGCCCGGGAGCAAAAAAATGCTCGGGATAGGACAAGGCACTCGCGAGCGGAAAAATCGCTCGGGGCGAAAAAAAAAATAAAATGCGCTCGCGAGTGGAAAAAGAGCTCGCGAGCGGACAAAGAGCCTGCGAGCAATAAAAAAACGCTTATGAGCGGAAAAACCTAAAATATTTTAGAGTGACTACATGCTAATTTGCTAATTTAATTGTAAAAAAATTTCGCGCTAAAAGATTAAGTTTATTCTCTTGTAAATCTGTTGTTATCTCCGGTCATTGCGATAAGGGCGTTATCGTAGGTCAATTAAGTTGACAAGCTCGAATTGTCGCAGATGTTCAACTTATTCAAAGGCGCAGTTGAACGGAAAGGGAATTTGTTTTAAATAGAAGAGACGGACGTTAATCATTACTTGTTTGGTGGTAGAAGTTAATCGGTTTGTTTTTTTATGGACGTTGCGCGTAGCCGCTTATTGCTTTGGTGATTGGAAGATCTGCTGTTATTTGAGCGTATTATTGGAAAGACAGTCAGTATTTATAATCGTTATAGAAGAAAGTTAGTTGAGAGCTACGAGTATTAAGAGTAAAAGTCATTGCCATAAAAATTGATATCGCTCTAGAAAATTCGCTACAATCAAATAAAAAAACATGTAGTTTATTTTATTGGCCAAGAATAAAATCTTGCATTGCGAATTACGTCAAAAATAAATGGGCCGAAAATCAAAATTCTCAATTTTATTCATAACTGCCAGACTAATTTCTACCAATTTAATCTTCATTCTAAACAAACGTAAAATGTTTTAGGGTGACTACAGGCGCGGGTTGAAAAGCGTGTGCAGAAAGCAATAGTTGAAACTGCTGCCGAAAAAAAAGGAAAATAGAAAAGGGCAGTCAGTTGACAGAGGTTTGTTTGGCTTCAGCACCTACAGTAATGTTGGGTCACCCTGTATGTGTGAAACTCAACTTTTTTTGACGTTGGTCGCTAATTCAGAACATAATGTTTCGATCATGGTCTTTGAATTTGAAGTCAAGGCGATTTTGTTTAAGAATTAATGTTTTAATTTTGTTTAAATAGCTGCTAATTTAATTGTAAAAAATTACGGGCTAAAAGATTAAGTTTATTCTGTTGTAAATCTGATGTTATCTCCGGTCATTGCGATAAGAGCGTTATCACTACGTAGGCCAATTAAGCTGACAAACTCGAATTGTCGCAGGTGACTAACTTATTCAAAGGCGCTGTTGAACGGAAAGATACTTTGTTTTAAATAGAAGAGGCGGACATTATCCGTTACTTGTTTGGTGGTAGAAGTTAATCGGTTTGTTTTTTATGGACGTTGAGCGTAGCCGCTTATTGTTTTGGTGATTGGAAGATCTGCTGTTATTTGAGCGTATTATTGGAAAGACATTCAGTCTTTATAATTGTAAAGTTCTAGTTATAGAAGAAAGTTAGTTGAGGGCTACGAGTATTAAGAGTCGTCATAAAAGTAAGTGTTTTAAATCGAAATAAAGAAGTGAAGTTTACGTAGAAGTAGTTGTTTTTCAATCTGATTGCAAATGCCGTCTTCTTCCGATCTTCTGAAGGCATATCGACCGTTTTAGCGCATTTTTAAGAAAAAAAAAGTGCTATTGTTTGCGTTTTGTCCGTCCGTCCGTCCGTCCGGACCCACTTCTGCCGTTTTGTACTACTTGTACTTCCTTGAAGATGTACCAGACGGCCATCAAATTTCGCTGTGTAAAAGGGGGGGCCCCCCTACGAATTATTTCCTGAGATGATATTTTTTTGAACGTAAAACGTTCATAACTTTTACATACGACAACCAATTGATCTCAGATTTTGCATACGCATGCCTTTAGTGGTGCCAAGTGAAACTGTAGAAAAGGGGGGGGGGGTTAAACACATGTTCTACCCTTCATATGGTATTCTAATGAAAGGTTTCATCGAAATAAATTGGTTTGTACAAAGTATACCTTTCCCGTGCGACTCTTTTCCGAGATCAGCGAGTGACGGTGCTTGAGGGGGGGGGGGGGGGGTTAAAAATAATTTTATCTCTTATTGTATTCTAATTAAAGGTCTCAACGAAAGGAACCGTTTTCTACCAACTACTGCCCTTCTTTCTGTCTTCCTATCCAAGTACGTGGCGGAGGGGGAGGGGGGGTGGAACTAATTTTATCCTTCATGGTACCCTAATGAAAGGTTTCAACGAAAGGAATTAATTTCTACCAACCATACCCCTCCTCTTCGACCTCTTATCGTGATCGGATCCCTTATACCTCAAGAACGGATTATCGGAAGAGGGTACTCACAAAGGACGATTGAGACGTCTGCAAGAAATATATGCATTGATGATGTCAAATCAAAAGGTATTTCGGTTAAAAAAATGCGCTTTATCTGCACAAGAGTTGTGCACAACTTATATTTGTTTAGTTTTCTTGCTTTTTTTTAGATTTTTTAGATCATTGCCATTCTCTTCGCTAGTTCCGTCTAGTTAGAGCGTTGAGGAGGTAAGCTTTCCAAAGAAATTTCAAAAGTATTTCAAGGAAGTTCTATAAAAATACCAAAAACAAGATTAACTTTCCCAGAAAAGTTTATATTTCCTAATTAAATATTTTGTAAGTAAATAATGTTTAAAAATAATCGGATTCGTTTGTTATGTTAAAAGGGTTAAAGGGTACTTGAGAAAAGTAAATACACGTTGCTACGCACCGAAAACATCTTCTAGGACAGATATCATTCGGTAATTATGACTACCGATAAACACTTATCTGTCAAGAAGCACACGGGTCACCAATAAAAAACGATCGATTGAAAATAACATGGCCAAAAAGGGGGGAAAATACAATATAAGGGAGATATGCAAAAGTACACGTAAGTTGCTGCACGAAGCTTTTCCATTATGTTTCTAATCGCTTTGGTTGTTGTTTCCAACATTTTCCTGGCACAGGGAAATACTCTTGGTAATGAGACTCATCCAAAACGGCATCGATTTTACGTAGGTATTCGGTTCCAGGTTTCTATTGGAGAGATTTCGACGGAACAATTCCGGAAGACGCCTTTGTTGCCGGTACAACCAGGTTCAACAAGCCAATTTATATAGGACAAGCCTTGTACAGTGGCATGTTAATTCCCGGAACCATTTACCAGAACGACAAAACGGTATACTTCGAATACGGTGGATGGGAACGGCAAGAAACCGAAAACGTTAAGGTAAAGCTACCAGCTTTTGAGGAGTGTATTTCCATTGTGACTTTCTCAGATCTTTTGTACGGATGCGCCGGATCAGTTCGAGTGGATGCGGACGGACACCAATCACATCACGGCAGTTTCCAAAAAACTCATATTTAAGGCAGGGTTCGAGTCGTCGTCGACGTCGATTTATATTGGTAGAACGCGAGCGTATGGGGAGGTGTTGGTAGGGAAGGTGGTCTCCGGTGGTCGATCGGACGGCATATACGTTGTTCGAAAAGGAAATGTGAAAAGCTCGACCAATAACTTTGAGGTGCTCTCATACAAGCAGACGGATGAAGTGCAGCAACCTAGTATTATTGTGAGATGACCTCTTGGCCTTAATACGTAGGGCAAGAGGGCCAACTAGTTATCTCTTCTCCAGCTGGTTTTGATTTTAGTATTTAAACCATGAAATTTGAATCGATTGTATTATAATATTATCTTGTATAATACTTAACAGTGTATTTGTCCTTACTCCAACCTATAAAAATATTCCGAGAAACACAGATCCCACATCCTATATTCCAAGGTCTGGTTTCGAAAGCGTGGATACCCTAACCAGTGTTTCAGGTGCCGAATTATGTATTACACACTACCTTTGGCCTTCAGGGTCTAGACCCTTTGCTTTGGAGAATCTTGATTGCAGATTCTTATTAGGAATCTCGTATTTACTCAACGTCCTTCGGATTCGGTCTCCTGAAGTTGACATCCTAGGTTCTATGATTGTTTCTGGTTGTGTATTCTGGATTAGGGTCTTATGAATAGATTATAGACCTAGATTCCGGATTCCGGCTCCTGAATACCGCATTTTAAAGCTTAGGTACTGGATCCTGCACTCCGGATACACAATCATGAGTTGCAGATCCTATATTCTAGTTTCTGAATTATAGATTTTCGGTTGACAGTTTGGAATTATGAGTTCCTTGGTTATGATTCTATATCCTAGATGCTGATGGATTTTGGGAAAAATAGGAAAACTAGGAGCAGCGCCACCTACCTTTGAAGTCAAAACGACGGACGTTTCGCGGTCGTGTCCGAATGGAATAAGAGAAATGAACTTATTACGCACAGAGCTCGGTTCCCAGGGAAAAAAACGAACCAACAAGAAAGAAACCTGGCATAACATACACAAATACTGGAAATAAATCAACTACAGCAACAAAATGGAAGAGAAAATATACAAATAAAACATCTCAAATAGTACGATAACAATGAGTCAATCGAATATCACAACAAATTCATAAAAACTTGTAAAATAATAAATAGCATGTACAGGGTGGCCAAATAAGAATGCGAGCTACGGTATCTGGGAACCTGTCCATCGTAGAGACTTGCGGTAAAAAAAGTTATTACTAAAACGGCCACGAGAAAAACCTGGAAAATGTTTAAGTTTCTGAAATGGCCGCTAGCGGGCGTAACAGCAATCTGGAATCTAAAAAAGTGGTGTTTCTGTGAATTCGGCTACAAAAAAACGTCCGGTCTTTGAAGACGACGATAATCTGAACGTTTTTTGTTTGATAATTTTTCCTGAATCTCTAAAAATCAAGTAGTGGGGAGTATTCAAAGGTTTCCGTAAAGAACACCCTGTATCTTGGAAACGGCTGAACCGATTTAAAAAAACTTGGCTTAATTGAAAAGAGTTATTCTTCGGCTACAAATATTATAATATTTGAAGTTTTGTTAGTTTCACATATCGCCGCTTGAGGGCTTTCTTTGACATTCCGACAGAAATGGCTAATTTTCTCAAAAAAATTAAATACGTTGGATTGATTTTTTTTCATGAAAAAGTAGCTAAATGATGCCTAAACAAGCTCGCGAAAATCGCATCTCGATATATTGTTCCTAATCTAAAATTTAAGCCAAAGAAAATTTTATACCCTCAAAATTTTATTTTATTTTTATTATATAATTTGTGGCTCTAAGGTGAATCGATTTAAAAAAGGAAGCTTTTAATGCCGCCGTAAATGCTCAAAATGACCATCACTATATATATACATCTACTCGGCTGTGGCTCTCGTAAAATATTGATTCGATTAAAAAACTTTAAATACAAAAGTTATAGAAAATTTTGTGCTCTATAACTTTCGTAATAGCTACTTTTAGGGGAATTGGCACTGGAACGGAAAAATTATCGAAAAACTGAATTTTCGTGCCGTTTTTCCAATATGGCAGCGCGAGCGGCGGTCGCTAACTCAGGGGACCCCAAAATATAATAATCTACCAAGTTTCAAAACTCCTTGACCTTTGGCAGCAAAACCATCTATCCTATTTTGACTGGACTACTACTGGGCATCCGAAAAACTAGGCGGATAGCCTGTTACGAAGCACCCGTTTTCCGTCCCGAAGTTCACACCCGAAGTTATGACCCCACTGTACATTTGTGACGTCGACCAGCTTTGCTGAACACCCAGTATCGAGTTTGTCGCTTCGTTACGAAGAATTCCTGAAATTAATTATTTGCTCGAGGTGTGAGTTTTCTATGTTTACATTTTGTGTAATTGTATATTTTACCGCCGCCAAGTACGTAAGTTTTGTAATGAATTTATCAGCTGTTTCTATCCCTTCTGGTAGGAATGATTAAGTTATTCTTACAGTCGCCGAATACTCTCTTACCAGGGAAAAAGGGAGTCAATTCATATTTTGATATTTCCCATATTAAGCGAAAACCAGGATAGAAAGGAGTTTCTCATCGACCGTTTACACTCTATCAGTCTTGCAGGCATGCAGGGAGTGTAGATAGCGACAACAGTTGTTGCGCCGGAAAATTCCAATTAACAATAGACATTAAATTGGATTGATGAATATTAAAGTTGATCGCCCCTAATTGGGTACTTAAGCATGGTTAATGAATGACGTTTTAATGAGTTGTAGAAAAAAGCGACAGATATATAAAAATGATTGCGCTTAAAACACGAGGGGTACGAAGTCTATCTTGTATTTTTCCGATAACTAGAGGCCGAGTAATTAATTAAAAACCGAATTAATTTGCACCGCTTTAGTACTGGACACAGCGAGGAGCTTTAATCGTGCTTAATTGCTTTCCGTGCCATCTCCTGATACACAAGATTTATTGAGATATTTCTGAGAGTGACCAGTTCGACAAATCATGTTTTCCTGGAGCTATAGATAATTAAAAGAGCTTTTGAACACCTCCTCGTACATTATATTCTCCTGATACAAGACTTGGTCATAGTGTACTGAAATACTTGTGTGGGTAATGGGAAGAGATCTCCTCGATCATCATGTGCTCCGGGTAGTCAGAGAATTGTTACAATTTGAAATACTTCTTCATGAAATGATAAAATTAAAATATAAAGTCAAATACAAGAGAAACAAGCAAAAATAAATAATTTGCGTTAGCTGCTCGCATATTTGGGCAAACTTAATTCATATTAATTGATACTAGCCGGACGCATAATTTCGCAAGGGATACATTAATAATAAAATAAAAACCAACCTACAAATTGCATCTACCCTAACTTTAATTAAATTATGTTCTTAAACCACGCCCCCAACGGCTACATTTATGAATTTACTTCGAGGCAATTAGATCACACGCAAGTATCGTGAATTAAAAAGGCTGCGTGGAAATTTTTGTGTTCATTTCAATTAATGAATGCTAAATGAAAAGAAATTGCCTTGTAGTACGGTGAGATCCTTAACAGTGCCAAACAATATTCACTATCTTCTAAAGCGCTGATACATTTGTGTACTTAAATGGGGAGAGTTCTATTAACTAAACCTTCTAATATGAAATAAGATACAACATAATAACATATAACAATATGCAAAAAGAAACACTGAAACCAAACTAAAATTGTTATGATATCACTAAGATACTTATATCATGGCCTTTAGACGACAATAGAATAACTATAACTCACAATACCTTCTGTACTACTTTGATGTAGGATCGATCTTGATTGAGAATTCCCCTAGGTCCAGGTTCGCATTTGTGGGTATATGAATTTACAGGAACTGACAAAGGTCTGACGTATGTACAGTCCGCCCCAGATTAAATAGATTCCCGTACTTGCCTTAATACGGTTAAAGCTTTCCTTAGGTCAATGTTTGTATTCGTTGATGGTGGGGTAAATACAAATACTGCTGAGATTAAAGTTCATTATCTTATACGCGGCTTGGAACACGCTTCAAGAGTACATTACTTCTTCAATTTTGTAGTTTATACGATCACATAAAAACGAAATTAATTTGCTGTAGCTAAAGTCCACGTGAAAAAACAACTCACTTGCAGCCCGCACTAAAATTAAATTTAACGAGTACAATGCTTATAGATTCATTAATGCGAATTTTCTTCTTCGTAAAATACCTCGAATTTTTTAACTTTTACGATAACTCCGCTCCTTTCCCGATTAAAATGTTTGAGGACGACCTGTAAGTGTACGCTATTATAGTCTCTGTGTGTGTATGAGAGCCGCAAGGTTTCGAGAGTTTCCTCCACGCTTCTCCGCCACCCGCAAGCCGCTATCTTACCTACAATCGTTGCCGAACTGAAAAATATTACGGAACCAACGCAAAATTGACGACTAACGTCATTTTCTTGCACCCAATCTGGCAGCCGCTGATAAGTCTACTCGCGATCATTATTTGCATGAAACGGTACATATGAAATGAAAGGAACAATGCTAGCCTTGAATTCTTACATGACCTTATTCCAGAAAAGCTGCGCAACCCCCAAAGAATTCAATGTTCAAACTAAACTTTGAAGAATTCTCCCGTAAACGTGTTTCAACTATTAAAACCGTACGTTTCTTGAATGAGGAAAAATGACATAAAGGTCCTTCAGTTGCGGTTGACATGCTGTTGTTTAGTCGCCTTCCTCGACACGCAGTAGGATTATTCTACTACTCGCCCTTACACGGGGAAGGGATGCTTGGTGTTATACGGGCTCCGAGTTAATAACAACGGTTAGATGGTACCTTAATTAAGCGTTTTCAACAAAAAAAAATTGCGGAAAAGTTCGAAATTTTCCACAATCTTAATAAGGTGCGCATAATAATTGCACCTCGGGTTTCGAATTACGAATCATTGACTCTGTACCTTAGCTTCCTGGTTTAGCTCACAGCAGCTGATTTTGAGAGTGGTTTTTGCATACATTTCACGCAAACCTCAGTTAACTCTTTCGAATTGAGCTAGATAGTAGTTAAAGATGCATATCCGCAACCTTAGTGCCCGATATCTTAGATCAGTGTCCTTTTTGTTAAATCTATCTTTCTTGGCAGAGTTGTTGAAATCTATTTTTATTGTTTTGTTAGAACTCCCTGAACACCGGGTGACTTTTACTTTTCATTATTTCAGTCTAGCGAAATAATATTAGATGCTGTGACCGATAATGTCATTCGAATTAGATCGCATTTGATCTCTAAAGTGCACCATCGGTGCGTGAAAGCAACAAGTTTTTGAAACGAAGGAGAAGGCTTAAAAATGTACTAAACT